TCTCGGCGTCGAAAGTTTCGCATCCGTGCAGCGAGCCCCGTTCCTTCTTGAAGGTAATTCCTCCTCTTTGAAGCACATAGCCCTATGCTGATCGACCGTGACCTTCTGAGGACCCATCTGAATGAGCACAAATCTCAGATGGGGGGACTGCCCTGATCCATTTTTGATTATCCTGCACTCCTTCCAACTTTGATCCAGGATTTCTCCAATATGCTGGCCTAGGAAGTGGTTCGGCATCCCCTGCTTGAGGTAGTTGGCAGTAAGCCCGTTAGACGCGGGATATCTGGGTATCGGGTCGCGAAGATAGCTCTTTCCGCCTCTTGTATATAGTTGTTCCCTCATTCGGGCACATCCATGCACGAACACGTAGGGGATGACGATCATCGAGGGATTGCGACCTTGCAGAAAGTCTTAGGCGGTTGCATTCTAAGAGGATCCGAGCTGGCGGAATACCTCCTTCCCTGTGAAGCGCAGCGATGGGTATAGTCTTCCACACCGGAAGTGCTGCTCTTAAGGCTAGAATTAAGGCCCTGTCAATCAGCTTGCATAGATGCGTCCTCTGGGGAGTCACGAGACCCCGTCTTTGGGTTCATATCAAACCGGGCCACCACATATCTGCGCCATGTGTCGCTATTGGAATCACGCACGCTTCAACCGCAGTCATTAATAGTCCTGGGGAGCTTATGGTAGTCAATTGGCTGAAGCTCCTGTTTAGTATGAAGCGCAGGAAGTGATAACCTTGCGGTCTGATTTTCGTGCATTGAAGACCATATTGATCTTGTGAGTAGAAGGATTTTCATATGTACAGTCAGACCCCTGTTAAGACGATATTGCCGTTAAGACGATATTTTTTTCCAAAACGGACTTCGTTCCCATACATTTACCGATTACACGATTATCGTTCTTCAACCTCTGAATATCGTCTCAACCAGGATAATTTTTTTGCTAGATTTGTGTTAAAATGCCGCCAAAAAATGGGAATTTTTGTGGAGCAACGATATCCCCTATAAGACGATATTTTTCACGGCCCCGATTACGTCGTCTTAACAGGGGTTTGACTGTACAAGATTGAGGTGTCTGTGCACTGAATATTACCAAACACGGCCGCCATTCTGCCGGCATAGACGAATTCTTCGCTTTCCAGTGGTGCCGATGTAATCGCTCAGTATGCTCTGCATATCTGGGAAAGCCAAGAAGAATCGCATCCAAATCGAAGTCGAAAGCACTCACAAGCACATCTAAAATCGACGACTTCTCGAAAATGTCGGATCTATCATTATCACGCGAGTCCTCCACCTCAATCTTACTACACCATCTCGCCTCAAATACCGATAATGGCGTTACTGCAATTGCAATCGGGCATTTGCTTCATAAAAAACCGGCCATCTCCCACTACACATTCACGACGCTATGTATACCCGCGAGGAGGAATTCAAGTCATATCTACAAAGCTCGGGTCTTTGTCTATGGGGGACCGTTGCTCTAATTGGGCTTCACATCTTGAGGGAGGACAGGCACCTGGGACGTGGGACGAACGAGTGGAGAGGTCACAAGTGGGCATGTTGGGACGCACATTTTTCGAGTGTCTGTGAGTGCAGAAGCAACGATTTCGCAAAGTGTAACTGACACTCTAAAAACAAGGAACGATGAAAGGTGTTTTGGTCCGCCTCCTGGTCGTCATCTCCCCGAATTAAAGTCTGGGTAGCCTGGACACATACCTCACTCAAGAAAGGGAGGACTGTGAGGCCATATCTCGCGCGGCGGCTACATACAAGATGGCAAAGGCATGTAAAGGTAGCCAAAGGTTTTTCCTGTTTTCCCTTTGGTGCATGTTAACGGTTGAGGGAAGGGTGAAAGTCCCTAGCACCAAGGTCTCGAGTGGTATCAGCGAATGCACCCACTACATGAGTAGTCCAATTATCAAACTGAGTTATTGTCGTATATAGTCGTCGGAGTAGCTAGTCTTCTTCGTGTCATGCTCTTTGAGTGTAGGGCTTTTTATTTTAATTCATATTGTATTCGGCTATTGAGCTTTGACAATATTTGAGGAGTGCAAGGCTTGTGCCCGTCACGATCAAATTTTCATCATCTTTCACAGCTGCCATTCTAATCCGATGTAATCCCCACAGACCACATCCCACAATTCGAAAATTCCCATTTTCCCACTTTCCCATCCATCTCTGAATTGTGATCGAGCTCAGGCATTTTCACCTTGCCTCCAGTTCGCAAAAAGCGTCCCAACGCCAAGTTGGACAACACGAGAGTCCGCCTGAAGGCACTCGAAACCCCACCTGGCCTTGCTCAGTCTCCGAAATGCGCGGAGATGAGCAAGGTCTCCATTAAAGGGAAGGAAAAAGCCCTCCCCGCCGTCACTGAACCCGATACTGACATGATCGGGTCAGTCGAAATTGTTGAGGAAATCCCTCAACCACCCTCCGTCCCTCACAGGATTGGAGAATCATCCAAATCTCCTCCGCCCGCATCAAAACCGTCGAAAAAGCTGCACCCATAGTAGCATCAAATTCAAAGTCGCAGCCAAAAGCTGCCACGAAAGCAGAGTGTCCCCTCGAGCTCCGACCATTTTTCGAAGCTGAACAACGACGCGCCGCCGAAACAGCGGCAAATCTGGTGCTCTGCTCCGCCGCCGTCTCTGGCGTCGAAGCCACCCTCCTCCCTTTGACCAACGGGTCAAATAGAAAATTTGTAGACTCGATCAGAGTCTACTTACGCGCCGCCAATTGCGCAATAAATGGCCACGGGCCTGGCCACTACGCCACTCGTTCTCCCTCCTCGCCCGGCGAACCCAATCCCAATCCCAAGGGCTCCCGACGCCAGGAGTACAACAACTCCCGTCTTCCCAGTTCTGCCCGTCGAAAGCACCTGGGACACGGTGGCCAGAAACGGACTGCGACAAAAAGCAGTCCCTACTGCCAAGGCTTTGCCGCGACCTGCGGCCAAAGCCCAACAAAAAGAAACTCCCAAGGCGAAAGTTGACAAGCGACTGTTCCTTCGCCTTGAAAAGGACCACCTGTGGCGAAAACTGTCCACAAGTTGCGTGAGAAGTAAATTAGAGATGAGATTCCCTTTCTTTCACGATAAAATAACCTCGCTTCATCAAGTGAGGACCGGCTTTGCTATGCTAGCAAAGAACGACACAATACGACAAGAGACGTTAGATGGCTCTTCGAAGCTGGCGAGTGAAAACGTCAAACTCGAGGCATCTTCGGATCTTATCGCCTTACAGATACCGAACGTACCTGTAAGTATAGTTACAGTGTGCGGCCCTAGGACGGTCGATGCCAGGAGGGTCTCCGCCAAGATTCACAGTACGATCGACGCGCTTTCAATCCAGGTCCGACCTCATGGGACATGTCGACCTGGGGCACCAATTCGAAACCGGCATGCCTTTTTTCACCTGGACTACGCCCCTCGTGCGGGCTTCCGCCTCTTCGACGAGTCTGGTATGGCTACCATTCACAAGCCTCGTCGCCAAATTGAACAGTGCAAACGCTGTTTGGGCTTCCACGCCACTCGTGGTTGCTCCTGCGCTCCAGCCTGCTGGAACTGTGGTTCCAACATGCACTCGGAAGCCGAGTGTAAGGCCCTCACTAAGTGTCGCAACTGTGGGGGACCCCACCGAACGGATTACCGGGACTGCCAAGTCAGACCCAGAAATTCCGGATCGGTAACCAAAAAGCAGCTCGCGTGGATACGCCACCTCGAGCAAGGGGAGTTCTCAAAGGTGGCTGGAGCTAGGGCCGCAGCCAAGCAGGCCGAGGAGGCGATCGTCGCCGCGGCGAAAGATGTCGCAATGGCCGAGACAACAGGTTTCGGAGTGCTGGGATCTGAAGGAGAAGCCTGAGGGAACAGTAACCTCGACGATGTCCTTTCTGGGGCATCTACTAACTATTAGCTGGATACTGGCTGGATAAAAGGTGCCTGCTAACCCATCTTTCGCTCTCAGCAGAGAAGGAGCAAATGTGTCATTTGGAATGCATGAGGAGCACATTGCTTGGGTCCAATGTGGAGGAATCTCCTGGTTTTCAGAGTTGTTTTCATTTTCTTGATTTTTCGTTTCAGTTTAATCAGCTGCACTTTCGGTAGCAATTCACGAGGTTGGAACGAATTCAGGCTGTAGGAAAAAGTACAGGGAACCTTGCCGGATCCACCGGTTCTTGACCCAATGTGGATAAAAAGCTTTAGTTTAGGACCCATCCGTAAAAAAAAAAACGAATTACAATATGCAGGCATCAAAGGTGATCCGAGCGTTCATATATAAAGGCAGGGCGGTCTTTCTGGTGGAACCAAGATAGAGAGCCTAAAAGATTTAGTTATAATACGAGATTGAGCCAATAACTTTTACAGTTTGTAATAAATTCATCAGAGCTGTTTCCGTAGTCTGAGCTAGATTAACCAGAGTGCTGGGCCAGATCATGCCATAGCTTCTTTTTTGGTTGTCCGTGCTTCAACTTCTTCAAGTAAGACTCAATAAGTCCAAAAAAATAAAGATTTAACCAGGTATTTCGCCAGTGGTCGCCCATGTAAATATTGCCTTAGGCTTAGCGCTTAATGTGAGGTTGGAAGACTGTGGAGAAACATGAAGGAAATTGATTATTCCTGATTTACATTCGCCACCTTTACCGCAATGACTCGACATGACTATCACACTTTTTTGAACAGCTGCATCTCCGGAGACTTTACAAGCGATGTTTGTTGGAGCTTTTAGCTATCCAGCCATTTATCATGAAAAGCCTTCGCTACTTTAGCCTATGATCATCTAAGAAGTTGGAAAGTAATTACAGCTATTCTGAGCACGAGTCATAATGCGGACAGCATTAGAGCTACAAGTAGCTGAAGTTTAGAGATGGCCACATCTCCATATAGTATTTAATCCAAGAACTATACGATGACGCATGAGGGCGATTTGACGAGCCCCAAGAATCGGTCTGTTTAGGCGTCTGTACCAAAATTAAATTTATAAATTATTCCTCAGTTCGACGCTAGGAAGTTGTGTTAAGTGTTGTTAGCTGAAGATTACCAATCTCGCACCAATTATTAATATCCTATGGTCTGTAAGTTTAAAATATGTATATGGCTAACACAAACTTACAATGCAACTCAAATACTTGCACCAACTGCATGTTCTCCTGAATGTGTAGAAGTTTCTTAATAATAATATGAACACGATAAAAACAAAAACTAGGCTGCCGACGCGAACAAGCCACCATGCCCACCATGCTGGTCGTCGTTGCGTAAAAAAATTTAGTGGACTCTTGATGAAGCTAGTTACATCTCTACTAGACCTGTCCATAAAATCACCTTTTACCCCTCCGACTGATGTGTACGGCGGTGAGGTCCGATTGATCCTTTCGCGAAGTGCACTTGGAGAATGAAGAATGCATATACCGAGAACTAAGCCCATAAGGAAGCCACCGATATGGGAGAAGTTGTCTAAGCCAGGTAGGAGTCCCAAAACAAAAGATATGCCTATGTCAAGCATAATGTATGCAAAGTCTTTCAAAGGAGTTCTACGTTTTCCCCATGTGTAGAGTAGATCAAGAAGATTGAGGGCTAGGACGCCAAAAAGAGCCCCAGATGCACCCGTTGAAGCAATTCCGGTGGCTGCAAAGTTTCCGCCAAGAACAAACCCAAAAATCCCTGCGGACATGTAAACTAAAAAGTAGCGTATAGATCCTATGGCAATTTCCATTTCTTTGCCTAGTGTCATCTGCAGCAGCATGTTAAATCCAATATGAACGATCCCTGCGTGAAGAAAAATGGGCAAAATAAATCGAAACCACTGATTAGGTTGATTTTGGAAAGCACTCAAGGATATATTTTGTCCGGGATAAACTGGATTCTGGCTTGCTGGCATGTTAAATCCACATAAGTTGTTCAGCTGGCAGTTGGCTATATTACTTGAAGTTGTGTTGGGACATGGCCAGTTGATTTCTCCCCCGCTAGCCCGTGTTTGAATACCATCAACAGCATGCATGCACGGAACATAACGAGCACCCATATTTATGAGAACATATGGAGAAGGGCCAATCATTGGGTTGAATGAAGGGTGAATTTCAATCGGGGATCCAGTGAGTTGTACTGTGAGGAAATCAGCTTAGTTTCTCTTGAGTGTTTAGTTTTTGTCTTACAGTTCTTCACTATCTCAACAATAAATACGGCACATTGAATCAAGGTCAAAAGATATGTAACATATGGTAATTTTATTCCTGTATTAACCATTTTCCAGGTGCTGTTCTTCTTTATAGTATTTGGGGCTTGATGTGAATAATTTTGAGATGAGGCATCATAGACATGATCAGTAATGTTACCCTCCCGTGAGGGTAGTGCTGAATGATCCCTCAAAGGGATACTTTCTCCAAAATTTGTTGTACCGGCCCTACCCAAGCTATGAGCTCCATAGTTCCTCGAATCTTGGCTGGTTGTGCTCTGATTGTCGTACTGATGAAGCCTTTGAGCTCCTGCTGGGTAGTTTTGGTGGTCAAACTGAATTTCTAGTGGTGCAGCTGGTAATACATTTTCATTTTGAGCTGGGGGATCGGAAAAATTAAGGTCATTCGCCTGCTGTGAAGGTGTACTTCTTTCTGATGCTGATGAAGCATTAATATGTGTAGGATGAGTATACAAATTGTCTGGTCGAGATGAGTAATTATTAGAGTGGTTCCCCTCCATTACCAAAATAATTAAGTTCGGCAAGACGTTTGAATAATGCGACTCGATCAAATATAGAGACTTGCGTCTTCAAATGTATTGCAAAAGATGATGGGGTGAGTTATTAGTTGTGATACTAAGCTTTCATACACAGTCAAGCTACAGTGCAACGCTTAGCTTTATCGACAAGACTCGTTAATCCATGATATTTTTGAAGTGAATATTATCTGCTCTCCCACCTCAAGAAATTTATTGCGTAATAGAGTGTGTTGATAAAAATTTCAGTTGTTTTCTTGTATCGAAGTGGGTCTAACATTTGAGTATTAGGACTTGAAGTTGTGAAAGATGTTGTATGTAACCAATTCCGCGCGACCTCCTCCCCTTGTTCACCATTTCAGGAAAAGTGGGGTGCAGATTATGGGGATTTTAATTGGGGTTACGAACACCTGACCCATTATGCCACACGGGCGAAGATGTATCAACTCCCAGCGGCTTCACACGCCGATAAATTATTCTCACTATTTTTCATTCAGAGCGTATATTTATTCTAACACTAGTGAGAATGGTCTCTTTCATAAATGAATCTATGAAATCATCTTTGCCCAATAAAGCGCAGATTTGGGCTAGGCCGCTCTAAAGTACTCACACGAGAGTTTTCTTTTATTTCAACATAACATCCAACCTTTCCCGGAATTCGAAATGCGAAATGGTTACAAACGATGCTATGGGGTTAAATATTCTAGCTCCTATATACATATAAAGTGATATGCTCGTCTGGCTGACTTCTGCGTACGTTTCATCAGAATTGCTAAGTCTCTAGGCTCAGTCCTCATGTCGGTATCGGAAGAGCCCCGCACCCAGCGGCTTTTGAAAATTCTCCCGGCTGCTAAGTACATGACAGTAAACATAAAATTGTTGGTTTTTCACGGTGAGATAATTAGCAGCTAAAGGCTCTTGGCAAATAGTGATATGAAGACATGTAAGGAGTTGTACTGTTAGGTATTAGCTGTAGAAGATACAAATAAGAGACAGGCAATTGATATTGATACCCTTGGCCTATAAGCATAGATAAGTGGCGTATCACAAGTTATCGTAGAGTTAAAATGGACTAAAGTCAAAGTAAAAATGATAGTTAGCAGTTACAAATATAATTCTGCTAATAGACTGTACCTATCATCAAAGTGATCTCCAGATCAGATCTATAAGATCCAAGCCACAGGACGAAGGCTGAGGCACTTTTATACCGATCTCAAGCCCAAATTCGTAAGTTTGGCCTTCAATGTTAGGGTTACGACAGCTATTAGGCAAGAACGGGGGGATGAACAGTTCTCAAGCTCTCACTGATGGCGAGATTGGCAAAAGAAAAAAAGAGAAGCTGGAACGGAAGATAAAAAGGGAAACAAGACGGAATAGGCTTACAATGAAGAAAAATGCTCCTGGGATTTATAAGTAGATGCCGGGATTGGTCAGAGTTGAAACTGGAATAAGGGCAAATACAAAGATCGAGAAGATTTCAAGAGCTTGGTCAGTAATTTGCGCTTTGGTACGACAAAATTGGTTCTACGGACGGTTAAACATGGCATGGTAAAATAAATGAGTGAAGTTCTGGGTAGTCCAGTCATTCAGGCGGGACCAAATTCGAGTGTGTTTGTATTTATAAATTTATTTTACGGTCCTAGGACATACAGTCAGAGCCGGCAAAGACGAATTCTTCAACTTCCAGTGGTGCCGGTGTAATCGCTCAGTATGCTCTGCATATCTGAGATAGCTAAGAAGAATCGCATCCGAATCGAAGTCGAAAATAACCTCAAACACATCTCCAGTTGACAACTTCTCGACAATGCCTCTCTTATCAACATCATCTGAGTCCTCAACCCATCTCTAACCACGCATCATCTCGCCTCAACGACCAATAAAGAAGTTGCTCTAATTGCATACAGGAGCTTGCCCCATAAATTTCCAGCCATCTCTCACTACAAATTTACGACGCTATTTATACCCGCAAGGAGGAAATCAAGTCGAAAGATACAAAGCCTCGGTCTTGGCTTGTGGGGGACTGTTGCTCTAATGGGACAAACAACTCGAAGAAAAACAGGCGGCTGAGATATGGAGCGAGAGGGAGAACAGGTCTCTGAAGAGCATGCTGGGACCAATATTTTCGAGGAGTTTTCAAGTTTGGATTTTTTGTGGGTGCCAAGATCAAGATTTCGGTTAATTAGCCAGGAGGGCTTCTTCTGTTGATGAGTCAACGGCACTCCCCAGCGCCCTGGACAGCACAAAAGAAGCTAGGCTAAGCTGCCATACAGCAATCACGCTCTGTCAAGACTTTTCTGACATTTCACCACGACCTTCGGGAAGGAGTTGGAAGGAGGCTAGAAAGGTAGAGTGTGAATTCTCCGAGGTACCCACAAGTCTGCAGCGCCCAGCTGGCCAGCCTCTTCGAACACTTCGGAAGGATCACTATGTCTTCGGATTTAGTCCTAATGTCGGTATTGGGAGAGCTCCGCACCCAGTGGTTTTTGCGATTTTTCCCGGCTGCCATACACCCGCAAATGGCCATCGTCTCGCTGGCTGGAGAGGGGAGATAATGAAGGGCAAAGGGCTCCTCTAAGTGTATGATCAAATGAGGACTTGTGAGGGGTAGTACTGTGTGAGGGGAGCTGTATGGGAGGCATAGGAGGGGATATACTACTGGTATAAGTATCCTTGGCCTGTAGGTAGAGAGGACCTGCATGTCTAACATAGTCATAGACTTTCTTAATAAAGATATGTGGGACACAGTATTACGTTGTAAATGTTGACTAATGAACCCTATAGCTACAGATGAAATCTATGTACTGCTATGAAGGTCATGTGACCTGTCTAGCTTAGTTTACATGAGTAGGTGAAATGTTACCCCTAGACACACCCCCTTACCTACGAAACTTTACAGGATTTCATCAAGCATCCAAGGTAGTCATATTTAGTTGTCCGACAAACTTTTTAAAAAGAACAGACGACAATGCCTTTGTGAACCCGTCTGCAGCATTTTCTAATCCTGATTTCCATTCCAATTCAATTACTTTGTCGCTTATATATTCCCGCAGTAAGAACACAGGTACATCGTAATGTTTGCTCTTTTGAGTTACGCCCTGTCCTTTTATTTGCCTGTAGCCTGGCTGATTGTCATAGTAGAGGCGGACTATCTTTGCGTCGTCTGAGTTGTAGTTGATACTTCGAAAAAGATTTCGAAGAAACACAGCCTCCTTAGCTGCTTCAGCCATAGCATAGACTTCTGCCATAGTTGAAGAACAAGTAACCCTCTTCATTTGATACGAACGCCAAGAGAAACAGGCACCTTTCAGGAAGAAAGCCCATCCACCATGAGAGCGTCGCGTTTCAGGATCTTGGGCATAATTGGAGTCAGTAAAACCGTGAAGCTGTAAGTTAGAGCCGGCACCAAAACTAAGACCCAGACGGGTAGTTTTGCAAAGATAGCGGTAAAGATGGCGAACTGCTGCTATATGAATTGAAGAAGGATTAGAAAGAAAACGACAGAGCTGTGTCATGGTATAGGTGATATCTGGTCTTGTTTGAGTTGCAGCATACATTGCAGAACCAACCATCGACGCATAGAGCTCAATTTCCGCTGTAGAGGCAGTCCCTTCAAAAGGAATCAGGTGCTGTCCTGGAAGCATTGGTGTACTGGTTGGAGTACAATTTTTGAGGCTATACTTTTCATGAATCTTCTCAAGATAGGCATCTTGATGGAGATAGAGGACTCGATTTGCTCGTTTGCGTACAATACGGACGCCGACATAAAACTCCGCAGGTCCCATATCCACCATTTTGAAAGAATCATGTAGGTGTCTTCGCAATTTCGAAACACCAGCCTCGGGACCAATGAGTAGAAAGTCATCTATATGAGTAACAAGATAAGTTTCATCAGAGTCACTGTGATAAACAGAAGAATCAAGAAGTAAAGGCTTATAACCAAATTGGGCAACTTCAGAACGAAGTTTTGATTGCCAGAGATGTGGAGACTGCTTGAGACCATAGAGTGACTTCTTAAGTTTCCACATCCAGCGGTTGAGTGGGGATCCATCTGGAGTAGGTAACCCGTCTGGACATGCCATGTATATATCAGTGTCAATTTCAGGGTTGAGAAAGGCGGTAACTACATCCATTTGTTCAACTTGCCAGTTCTCAAGGAGCAGTGTTATTAGTATTCCGTAGGGTACGAATTTGGTACAAGTAGGTTACAGGTGTGGAGTATGGTGGTGATTCCTAAGAGTAGGAGGTGTAAATTCAGCGTTAGGTATAGGGTTCACGTAAGAAGTAAAGGTAAAATAAGTAGTAGGTGAGAAGGGTACAATAACGGCGGTCTTCTTTAGAGAAGAGATAAGTAAGTGAACAATAGGTATGAGTATAAACAGAAGACGTTGCGTGAAGAAGAATACTCCTTCACGCTGGGTATATATGTACATCAGATAATAGGACAGCCCTAAGCTCTGTCTCGAACAGTATTACTACGCATTCCCTATGAAACTACCCTATGTTCCTGAGCCTGTCCTAATTGTTTGAGAACTTGATCTAACCCCGAGTTGTGTTTTAGAATGGAACTCTCCATGAGACACCATCCTAGTTTCCGCCACGTTTATCCATGAAAGTAGATCCCCCTTTAAGACGTGAGCTCCTGCGAGCCTGGTTATTTGAGCTATTTTTTAGTGGGCCAGGTTTAGTGGGATAGCGCTGGTGAAAGGTTCCGACAGCAGTGGTGTCGTCAAGGTTAATGGCTGGTTCCCAAGTCGGATCGTTTTCGCCTACCCATTTGACTAGATATTGTAATCCATTACACTTTGTAGTCCGCGAGTCATAAACCTCCTCAACCTCAAACTCCTCTTCTTCGTTGACAATTATTGGTGGAGGAGGTGGGTGGAACTGACCAGGAACGGGATCATGTGGAGCGGGTTCCAATAGGGAGACATGAAAAACTGGGTGTATTTTCATTGATTTTGGGAGATCTAAGCGATATGCATATG